TGCGAGATGCCGTGAGCTTCGAGAATAGCCGGCTGGTTTCATAGGTACTCTCCCACTTCATTCGCTCACATCCAGCCCGGTTGCGCGATCATCCCGAGGCAATATGTCTTGTATACAGACGGCACGGGGTTGCTACGGGGCGCGGAGTTCGCGTTTCTCGAGTTTCCATCCATCCAGTCCGTGAGAAAAGACGCTTCGTCTTCCTTCGCGCGCCGGCTTGAACCTTATTATTGGTAAACAAGCTCGCTTCTCGCTCCCTTTCCGTCTCCAGCTTCATCCGCGCCCTGCCGCCCGCCCGCCGCACCGCCGGGGTCGGTTCCCCGGGTCTCGCGTTTTTCTCCGCCGTCTCCCATCCACCGACAGACATCCGTTCGCATTCGGAAACATCGAGATTAAACTCGGAGTACCGATTAGACTGCTGGATATTACGAAATATCCTGCCGCACACCATGCCATTAATAAACGCGCTGCGCAATTTATCTCCAATATGTGTGAACGACTTAATTAATTATTAATTAATTTCTCAAAACAGTTGGCGATCAGTCGACTCGTGTAAACTGTTGGATTAATATAAATTACAAATATAATCCCGATTCCGATTAAGTATTCGCCCGCACGCGAGTGTAATTAGAATTAAATTTGAAACCAAATTTTGCAAACGTATGCGGAAATACTTGTTTACTTGAGGCTGAATAAAAGTATTAAATTTCAATATGCGCGAATGGACCCGAAAGTTATAGTTTCTGAAATTTTGCATTATTCTATATACATATAATAAGAGATTAACTCTTATTCAACGTTATATCGATTTCATTAATGTTGCTTTAGGCGCGAAATAATCTTCGCTTCTTCTAGCGGAGTACTTGAATGAACGCCAACGATGAACTTTTTCAATATAACTTTCTCGTTTGTGCTTTGTAGACTTTGTCGTTTCGTAGTCAGCGAAACAGCCGGCTCGTCGTTTTAAGTTTAACTTCGCGCGCCTACCCCGAAAGTAAAAAACCACCTTCGTCGTCCGTTGTACAGAAAAATACAATGTACCATGCTCTCCTTGCCATCAAGTTTTGTAGGATCTCGAGCCCCAATTCTTCCCAACTACGTGATGCTACTTGAGACATTAATTAAAATTATAATTAATATATCAAGTCCTCCATTTTCTCCCTTTTGAAAATTCGCGAGAGATCTCGAAGCTATTATTTTCCCGAACAAATTTTCCCTGCAGACATCTCTCGGCAACGCTATCCTATAGACGTTCGCAGACGCTTAAAAGCACCACGCGTCGTCTACTTCGTCGTCCGTCGTAATTGATGAAACCCGAGTCGTCGCCGTGTTGCCGGAGCAGAGAGACGGATTTTCATCTAGCGGATAGAAGAAAAGCGATATCCCTCTCTGCGCGCACGAAAGACGAGAAAAGTTTCTCTCGGGATGAGCATTTATTAAAACTATCTCTCCTCCCTCCCTCTTCTCCCGTCCCTGTCGTTGTATATATGCGGCAACCGACTGGTGTTAACGCTATCTCTCGGCTTTGACGTCGAGTCAAATATTCGCTTTTGCAGCACGCAAGGATCTCGCGACTTTGACAAACGTAGCGGCGCACGATAATTAACTTTCGCACACCAGTTCGACGTATTTAGCAAACCGTGTCTCCCGACGGCGAAATAGTATAGCGATAATAGATCAAAGATTTAAGAATAATTAGAAATGCTAAAAATAAGAAATAAAAAATTGGAAGGCTATTTTCGGTAATATCTTAAATTTCTAAAATCTAATTTTTTAGTAATTTATTAAAAGAAAATGGGAAAAAATGCACGTGTGCCTTCTAAAATTATACAAATAATACTTCCTGTCGTCGAGTTTCCGACGACAGGAAGTTGGTCGAAAAAGTGTGATTCTTATTTAACGCTTTACAACGCCATTAAAATAAAATAGTGCAAAGTGACGTTCGCCGGTCGTTTAAATGGCCCGCAATACCGCTAATTATTAATGACATTACAGCGAAGGTGGCGGTGAATAATCTGGGCTCGTCCCGTTGTCTCCCGACGACGACGACGACGACGACGACGGTCGGAATAATTTGCTGCAAGACGTCGCGCGGTAAGGAGCAGCCGCGGCTGCTTATAATCCGCGGGACTGCTTATATTTCCATATAAATTAACGGAACGCCACACGGACGACGACTAACGGAATCCGGGGGTGGTCTTACACTCGTGATATCAGCGACGACGCTGATACAGAAAGGGCTTGCTTTCATCCCCCGACGTTATACCTATCTGCGCCCATCAGGCGCGACGTTTATGGATGCCGGTGGTGGAGAAAACGCCTTCGCTTCTTCGCGGTTCCTAACGAGATTCCCGATTATCCTGCACGGTGCGCGTCCCGGGATTGTCCCCGCGCTAATTACCCAACGTTAAGACGTCAACGTGGCAAGAAGAGAGTACACCGACGCGAGCATCGTGCGCGGTGTACACGACGTGTATTTAGCACGCGGCAATACAATCCGCGCGAATTTCATATATTTCAGCGACTTGCGGCGACTTATTTTTAGTCTTCTCTTTTAATGAGAATATCGGAACGGCGGTTGCTCGCAGACTGTAATGGACGAGAAGGAACGGACGGCTTTTCTTGATCGAGACTCGAGATAGATTTTTCATAGGAGTGCATCTCTTTTAGCAGTCCCTGTTTCTGAATAATTTATATTTGCGTACTTAAATTTTTACTTTATACCCGTGCGGTCTTTTCGTGTATCCAGACTGTTATTCTTTACTCGCGCAGATTTCTTCGGAAATATTGATTGTAAATATCTCGTCTATAATAACAGCGCTTGTTATCGTATCGCGTTCGATTTTGCGATTAATAAAAGGAGTTATGATTATGTTGTAATTATTTATGCGAGAAATTGCTGTGCGCGAGTTTCATTGAGAAAGCAATCTTATATGAAAAAAAAGAGGTTTCGATCGATTCGCGTGACTTATGTAACGGCGGGTTAAGATTTATAAATATTCATAACCGACGGCTAAGCGACGCTCGTTCCGCCAAGCTTTTCTTGCCACAGTCAATCTCGGCGAGGAAAATCGCCGGCGTTTTCCTTTGAATATCTTTGAATAAATTCCGCGATCTTTCCCAATTCGCGCGATAGTACAATATCCAGCTGTAGCGCGCGTATAATTTTGCGGCAAAAAAATGCAAATTATTCATTAACTTTTCAGAGACGCGCAAGTATCGTCCTGAAATGGCGAAAATTTTCTTCTACATAGGAAAAGTCTTTACTGCTTCAAAGTAAAATGCTATCTTGTTTTTTTTTTAAACCAGTGCAACTATAAATTCTCAAAAAAAAAATTATAATTATGTACAATCGAATCAATATTATTTCTAGAAAAGCAAGAAATCAGGGATGTTAATTATTTTTATTATTAAAAAAAAATACGCAACGTAGAATTTGGCAAATTTCTGCTATCTGTGCAAGGGGAAATTAATGGAATTCTCTGCGATTAAACGACGTTCTACAAGGAAATCGTCGCTCGCGATGAGCGACAACTTTCGTACAAAAAAAAAGAAAGGAATAAGAATAGAGAAACAGATTTCTTAAACCACGAACTTCTGGCGTTCAACGAGCCATCGAAGCGGCGAAAAGGCCGCGCGCGCTCCTTACGGAAATGGTAAACGGAGTATTACGAGTGTCAGGTTCACGAACGAGCCTGACGAAGTATCCCGATGGGCGGGCGAATGGAAAGCTCCGTCCTCGGCGTGGAAGGAAATTGAATCGATTGTAATTAAAACTTGTATAACGAAGGCACGCGCGAGCGCGCGATGTTCATTCCAGCTGTCCGGGCCCTGGAAATTCCATTTTTCCGCCTACGAGCTGAATCATCGTGCGACGGGACCAAAATCCATCCAGTGTGTTTTATAAATTAGCACAGCTCTCGATCCCCACCGGCGAAAGAGTGGGTCCGAGATTCGGAAGCTGTATGAATATCTCGGCAGTAGGTACTCTTTGTTCATTCCAATGTAATCCAAGCTGGATGCAAGTCGAGTACGGAGCGAATATTCACTCTCGTTATTCTTATTTCGTATAAAGAATAAATGGATACTAATTGTAAGTGAAATTAATCATACTCATTGCTACGATATTAAATATCTTCATCAAAATAAAACTGTTAGGACAAGAGGTAATTGCAGTGGAGAGGAATTCGCAATTTCTGCACTTTCATATAATTGCAAAGCCCCATCTTTACGATTTTATAATCTGGTTAACTTATCTAGGCCTCCTCGTGGTTTTATCTGAATCGGCAATACACAAAGGAGTCGAGGGGCGCCTTAAGTGTCGTCGAGGGTGGAATATGTAAATTAATCTGCGTCGCGTGATGAGAGCTTGCTCGCAATTTTCTTGATTCCGCGTCTGCAGCCAGCGTCTTATTGTGTATTCAATTACACGGGCAGTAGGCGATATCGGCACGAGCGAGGCATTTATCGCCGCGAGGGATATCGTATAATCCCCATTAATGAGAGTTATGCGTCAAGGAATGGAATCGATTAACGTTCAGTCCAGATGCTCCCTTCGGTTTCGCGATTATAGGTATATTCTCGGGTATATTTCACCTGTTTATTAATACATTCAGGAAAAGCAAGATAAAAAGAACACTCGTGTCATTAGTCGGCTAATTTGCATATCTGTATGAATTAATTAAATACTTGTTGCGTATTAAATACTTATTACTGATACTTTTGCAAATTATAAATATTCCTGTTAAGCACACGTCATTAAAATTATGAATATTCTAATTACATATGCATATCTATATGTATGAAAAAATGAGAAAAGGATAAAAATTTTTGTCATTTGAAGAAAAATAGTCATCGATCTTCTCAAGTGCCATTACAGCAAAAACAAAACGTGACAGCATACGAGACAGATTAGATTGTATTAAGTCTCTCAACAGCCTCCTCGATTACTTTCGCCCGCTTTTATCGAAGGGATATTCGGCCATAGAGAACAACGCGGCTGATCAAAATACGTCAGTTACTAGTTTTATTTAATAAATATAATATTACATTGTAACATAAGGAATATCGTATGTAATCATCGCCATTCGCGCCATTCCGCGCTCGCGCGATTCCAAACGACGACGGGAACACTTTGCGAATCGTCCGAGCGGCAGCGTGTGTGAACATGTAATATAACTTTTATTCTTTGTGATATAGAACACTTCTTTCTCTCTAACGACGGCACAAAACATACAGTATGTTACAATATCGTTACAAGGGACAGTCATTGTGGCGCCGAGCGATTTCGTCGCTCGACAATTTCGGGCATTTTGTCGACATTTGCAGAAAATCTCGGCGTAGAGGAGATCCGACGGCGCTCTTAAACGGAGTACAATTTCGCGACGTGGAAAATATGTTGGAACAACGAGCCGAATCTATATCTCCGTAGAACCGTCTACGGGCGAGATTTCGCTGCTTGAGGCTCTTTTTTTTTTTTTTTGATTCGTTACATTTAAGCTTAAACGAAGCGGACGATATGTTATCGTGGGCAGTGTCGTTAGTGCGCATAATAAAATAACAATGTCGAAAGATAAATAATATCCAACAGATAATATGATATCAAAACAAGATAACCCCGTTTATTAATTCGTCTGATTAACGCCAGAGGCTTAAACGTGTTCAAAAATAAAATTAAGAGATAAAATTAGATTTATTATATCAAATTAAAAACAGTTTTATCATATTTTCACATAATATGTATAAAGCAGATAAATAGAATATATTTTCGCAAACCTTTTTTCGGCCAAAGATCGAACGCGATAATGTGTTACGGCGATGATTAAAAGTGACAACAGCAACGAAGGAGATAACTTACTGTACACTTTACCCCGTGCACCCATCCGCCCGTCCTTTATTTTCCATTACTCTTTATACGATCTATCGGTTTAACGATTTCATCGACGATCCGCTATTTACACAACATCGTTAAACCTCGAACGCTCGTTCGCGCCGTGAACTGTGAAATTTATCGGAGCCATAAGTCTATCGAAAAAATTTTAATAACCGATGCTTACGAAGCTTGATTATCCGGCGACATCGAGTCTTATCGCGACAGATTTCTTTCTGCCTCTGACTTTTTCGATTTTTTAACGCAAAGTGTGTGCGTTTTCGATCGATGTTAAATTTTTGCCAAATCGATGCGCGTTTCGTTAAATAACTCGCGTCTGGAAATAGAGGATTCACGGCTGAAATCAAACGGCAACAACAATTTGACAATGACAGCGATCGAAAACGAATTAAATTTCAATAAAAATATATATTTAGTGCGACAAAATGTAATCGTGGACAAATGTAACCGCTAAAATAACAATTAATTGCAACTTGTTACATCTCTTATTGTTAGCGATAGAACGATATGATAAAAATACGTCGATTATCTGTAAATAACCGAATCAATTAATGTTAACATGAATGAAATTGGAAATCCACAATCTGATGGTTTATGTATTAGAATTTTGGGCAGAAATGTACACGCGCGCGATAAAATTCCTAAGAGATAATATAACGTCGGAGTATAAAACCACCAGGAAGTTCACCGTACTCGCACCGTATTTATAAATACAATTTTTAAATAAGAAAATTTACATAGATAACGTATCTTTCGCGTGAATTAAAAAACTACTTCGTAATAACTATACGAATCCGCTACATGGGGAAGCGACAAACACTTTGCTTGCCGTTTTTACGTAAAAGTAGCGACCACATTTCTTGCGCCCTCGCCTCGGAGAAACTAATTTCCTCTCTTGTTTCACGCGCCGGAGGAATGCGACCGTGCGACCGGTCCACTCGCGCGCGCGGTAGCTGCACGGCTTTCCATTAATTAATCTAATATGTACAAATCGGACCGACGGTACAGCCGCAAAAAGGGACACTTCGAGATTCTCCATGGAAGTGGAAGATTGCTGGAAACGCCACGCGACGATACGTATCGTACTTCGCAGAGTCTCTTTCTCTCTCTCTCTCTCATTTATCATTCGCGTGTCTCAATACTTATCGTTCGTTCATAATAAAGTAATTACATAGAACTCCACGGAAGTACGGTATATCTCGTTATCGCTCTGACAGGTTTCCAGTGCGTGGCATAAACGTCTCGGAAGAGAAAGAAAAAGAGAGCAAAACAGAAGATTTTGCAATCGTTAACGTCACGTAATTGTGAGAACTCGTCAAATTAATTAATTATTTGCAATTCAGTGTGAATTATATATATCGTCGTATCTTGTGAAGACCGCCTCTACCCGCATTGTCTCCAAGAGATAACTTCGTCGTCTGGCACGCAAGTTTATTTTACACGCATTATACTTTACTACATTTCCCGATTGCGTACGCGATATACACGGGGAGGAGATATCTCCGGAATATCGCGTCCCCTTCGTCTATAAGAAGACACTTACTGTCAATACTCGCGATGAGGGAGAGAGGGAGGGTCGATAGCAAAATATCTGACATACGAAAATAGATGTATAAGATTTTCTTTACATCGTTTCGCTATCACAAAGGTAGTCTACGGTATCGGTAATTATCTAGGGTATAAGTTACGACGTGATATGTAATATGTACATATACGATACAATATATACATATATCTCTATACGTTTGATAAAAGAAATTTACGTCAGTCAGCTGTCAGTCTGTTTGTCCACGGTAACCGCCGTACGAAACAGATAAAGGTCACTATATGAAATTTTAATTCTTCTGTTCTCCGTATAGGCCTGACTCTATGGCCCCTTTTATATCTCCCACGAAATCACTTTAAAAAAAGAGCTGTCGTGAAGACACGCAGAAAGTTAGAAATATCATTTTATCGTTCAAACAATGATAATAAACATTTTAGAAATTAAATAAGAAAGTTTAGAAATTGAGGTTTTTCGACACGAAGACAATGATAAAGAAATTCAGAACTGCTAGAGCCTAAAATCTTAATAAATATAGTTGAAGTCACTCCAGCGATACAGGTATTAAATTATGGAAGAATTGTTTGGAAATTTTAATGAGTAAAACAGATCGAGATAAACCTGTTCCCAAATATCTCGCTCCAGCGAATATACATATATTAATTAGATATCTCAGACTCTGTTTGGAGTAAATTACTAGTGTATTTATATATCTGCGTGTATACATCTCTCGCCTCTTCCCTTCCCTCTCCCTCTCGATAATATGCCGTTCGATAATGAAACGCAAGGATACATCGCACAGGAACAATATGTACAATAATGCACGCACGCGTTGCACGTTCGTCATGATTAGTTAACACAATAAATTGTGTTGCATCGATCGAAATATTTACACGCGCACTCTTCCTGCCATTAAAATTTCCTCGGAAAATGTGACGCAACCAGTGCGGAGCATCGCTTGAAATGAAGAGTTCTTAGTCAATAATTTATAAAATCGTGAAATTTATAAATTGTTGATCTGTTATGAAACCCTTTTCTCCTTTTCTTCGAATAAAGTTTATGAAAGAAATTGAGTATAAGAAAAAAGAAGACGGTATATAAAAACATGATTTCTAGGCCAATAGAGCACATTGTCGGGATTAATTTTGAAAGAAATTAATCAAAATGTCTCCTTCACACGCCTAATGGAATAAAAAGGTTGTTGATTAAAAATTTTTTTAAATCCTTCCTGATACGACAGAATTCATTTTAATTAAACCGTACGAGTCAATTGTTTATTTCAATTGTCCCAGAGTGGTCAACGTTATTTGTCACATTTTTCGCCGCCCCGCGAGAAATTATTGATTACTTTCGCTTCTCTGTATCGCTTCCGCAAAGTTCCGTTCTTTACCGCCAACAACGTCGCGCGTTACACGAAGAGTCAAAGAGGTAGTATTCAGTACGATTAACATACGGCAGTGTCATTTGGAAGGGGGCAGAACGCCTGTGTGTACTTTTGGAATTTTGCTAACCGATCAACGTGCGAGCGCGTCAAGATCGACGGCCGATTGGCATACATGGTTTATTATAGGATCATTGCACGAAGTTTACGTTGTAAGTCTCGACTTGCATCGGTTGCAGGCCGATCTCCTGGAAACCATCCTTCAGACGCGCGCCCGGCTTCGTGCCGGTCAACGACGTCTTCGTAACGTTGACCTTGTCGAGCTTGTAGAACGCGGTACCCTGCGCGAGTCTCTCCGTGAGCGGGCAGTGCTTCAGCGCCACGTCGATGCCTACGGAGCAGCTGTAGCCCTGCCGGTGCAGCACCATGAGCGCGCTGTTCACCGGGAAATGTGGCAGCTTCTGATCGTGGTTGGTGCGCAGATTGAGCAGGTGAAGGTCGCACGGGAAGCTCTGACTCAACAATCGGACTTCCGGCGCCATCGTGACCTCCTGCTCACTGCCGTCGACCACGAAGATGTTCACCGGATAGTTGAGAGTGTTGCTCAGATGATTGGCGAACAGCGACGGCCTCGAGTATCTGTCCTTCTCGCCGCTGATGTCTTCAAGCAGTAGCCAGTGCTTGATGACCGTCCGCCTATTGTCCAGCAAACCCTCGCCCATGCCCCTCGAATCGTCGTAGAGAGTCCTGCGATCCAGCATCACCTCCAGCCAGCCGGGCTGGTAGCTGGCCGCGCCCTGGCAGTGGTTCACCAACAGTGTCAGTCGGTGACTCGAGTCCTCGATGTAGGCCATGGTAGTGATGGGAAAGTAGTTGCCCTCGATACCGATGCGCTCGATTTTCGTGCGTTTGATCATCTGGTGGCCGTTCAGATCGGTATAGAACTCGGGCGGATCGCCGTTCGAGATATCGGTCTGCAGGCGCATGAACATCTCCGTCTCGCGATTCTTCGGCGGCGTCTCGAAATCCACGATGTTGCGCAGATAGATGGCCTCGCCGAGGCCGCCGTCGTGATGGTAGATCGCCACGTGATGCGTCAGTAACTTGCCGTACTCGACGGTGAGGCGGGAACTCAGGCTACCGCTGACGATATAAATCTTCTGGTGCGGCGTGTACGCCTCCAGGACGTCCTTGTCGGTGTCCCGGAGATTTGGGTCGGGCATGAAGAGGTAGGCACCGCTGTGGAACTGCGCCGAGGGGTACGCGGCGAACTGTACGGCGCACTGCATGATCTTGCCGGTGGATTTCTTCGTTACGCGCTTCAAGAAACCCGTCTGTCCGTCAAACAGCAGCTTCATCCGTTGATTCTCGAGCTGCACGTCGCCCACCTGCATGGGTTTGATGGGAAAGACGTTGTCCTTGCCGCAACGGCTGCAATACACCGTCGAGATGGCCTCCGCCGGCACCTTGTCGACTTGCCGCAGGTGATACGTGGCAATCGACAGCGGTTTCAGCTCGGCCACGAAGAGCAACACGTACACGTCATGCGTGATGCTCGTGGCGTTCATCACCGGCGCGATTTGGTAGGGTATGGGGTTTCTTTGGGGATCCAGGACTTTGATTTTATACGACGTGACTTTGAGACTGATCACCTCCTGCCTGGGCTGGGCCAGTGGATTGAACAGAACGATCTTCCTGGTCTCATGGCCGTTCACGCCGATCGGTATCTTCTTCGGCAACTTCTCGTAGCTGTCTCTGTCCGACTCGGCCAGCACGTAGACGGAATTGGATTTGCCGCTGATGGTGGCCGCGAGCGACTGGATGGCGAAGCTCTGCAGGCTCGTCGTGTCCGAGATCGATTCGAAGAGTTTCAGCGCGTAATCCTTCATGACGAAGGACTTTGAGGTACCGGTGATCGCGTCGTGATGCTGGAACAGGCCCAGATTACGCCTCGCCTTCACCAACTTTTCGAAATACGTCTCGTAAAGTTTTATATCCTTGCCAGACTGCTTGGCGAGATTTAGCGTAATCGTGTAGAGGATCTCGGCGGATCTGAGATTTGCCTCGAGCTCGCGGTCCAGGATCTTCATGTACGGCCTGGTGGTAAAGTAGCCGCTCCAATAGGCCGGTCTACCCTCGCTGAAGATATCCGAGTACACGAAAAAGTCGCCCGTCAACGACGGGAACTTGACCACGCGTTTTTGTATCTCGCCGAAGTAGTCCTTCGGCGTGCCGAACACCACCTCGGCATTGTACTCGTCCTTGCGGCTGTTTATGTAATCCATCAGGATCTTGTAGTTGGTGTACTGTTGATCCCACTCGATCGCGTGGTCGTATCTGAAATACAGATACAATAGCGGGAAACGTGACGTTTCGTTAATAGAACCAATTTTTTTTTCTTGACACATGTATGTTATAAAAAGCAATATATAGCAATATATATATTTTAATAAAAAAAAACTAGTTTTCCAGTTAAAATATAAAATAGTAACATTGGTCTATCGAATTATAATTAAATTATGTATTAACAATATTTTACAAACTTAGAAGGTAAAGAAAAACGTTGTTGGATACACGTGTCTCTTTTCCGGAACAATATAATGTTATTAAAAAAACACGAAATTGAGCAAAATTTAAGGAAACCGTGAAAAAGAATTGTAAACGTAAATAGGTGGAAACCGGGAACGGTCTGTTTTTCAAAACGAAGTTATGCGAACCTAAAGTCATCGCCGAGCGGCATCAGCACGACGTTGTGAGTGAACAACGAGCCGGTTCTCGCGTACTGCTCCAGTAACAGCTCGGCCATCTGCTTGACGTTGTTCGGCGTGATCTCGACGGCGCGGACCGAGTACTCGGTGTACTCGCCGCGTATCTTACGGAAGTCGAAGTTGAGGCAGACATGCGGATGTGGGCCGCACGAGTGCTTGATGTTGTAGATGTCGAAGGGCTGATTGTGGGTGAGCATGTCGGCGGCGCCGTCGCGATCCCACGGCTGTCGCCAGACAAAGTCGCCGTACTGCTTTTTAGCGAACCACTGCTTCCACGCGTAATGTATCCTCTGGATGACCGTGCCGGACGCGCCCGAGGCCCTGAGGAAGTACGGTATGGTGCTGCCGTGGCCGAACGGGTCAACGGACCAGCCCGACTCGGGTATCACGTCGAGATTCGTTTTCAGCCACTGGTGACCTGAAGTTTGGGAAAGGAAGCTTTTCTTACAGCTATAAATTACAGCTTCTACGCGAAGTGTATCTAGAGAGTACATCGATAAAGGAAATCGATAGTTTAATCGCCACTGGTTTAGTCGTAGCTATTAATTATCAAGTATTTTGCTAAAAGTGTTCTACAAAAAAAAAACAACCAAATATTCCGGATTATTTCGAAAAAATAGTAATTTCTTTTGTGTCTCCTTGTATTATTATGATTTTATATTAAAATGCTTTAACTCTTTGGAATACTTGCAAGGGGGCATCTAGACAGAATATCGGTTTCTCGTAATGCAAGGCTTATACTATGTGTTTTAGATAAAATGAGAAAAATGTTGAATTCATTCCTACTGTAGATTTCAAATTCGTTTTTAAACGACACACATATAAAAAGACATCATAAATCTTTAAACACTAAATTAGATATTTTTTTCATTACTTTATTTTGAATCATTTGTATTTGTAGTTCGTCGTTTAAAGTGGAAATTTTAGTTCGCTAACGGAGTCCGATATTAATTCGCATACGGCTTTAGTTTATTTTCGTTTAATCTCCTAAAACTAATCTACAACTTAATTATGGATCGCGTATCGCAAAAGCCACGTCTGCCCGGCCTTTTTTATGGCATGCATTAATTTGCATCGGGGAGAGCCTTTTAAAGTTCATCCATGCCGCGTTCTGCGCGATGCGATCAAATATTCATAATGTGCGGATTAATCCGCTGTTTCCGTGTCCTGAATATTCCAATTCTTCGAACTATGATGAACATGCGCCGAAAACGTAAATTTACTGACTTGTCCATGCACCAAAATATTAAACGAACAACATAATAAAGTCAATCAATAAAATAATATATCGCTAAAATCACCAATTAAAAAGTCGAAACATTATCGAGATGACGTAAAATCCTCGGTCATGTTCAACAAAAATGTATCTTTATTATTAACAAGATTTGATTCCGCAAGCCTCATGTGTTATTTATGAAATTTAGAATTTATGTTACCTACGTTTAACAAATATTTAATTAAATGGTACGACGACATAGATACATTCGATTAATTAATTAAAAACGGTATAAAATATAATAAAGCAGGTATCTCCAAAACGAAGAAGTCAGTAAACCGGAGCCGGTCGGATAAACAGAGTTAGGGTAAATGCGATTAAAGGAATACGCCATTAGCGGATGGGAAACATCGGGCTCGTCGAAAAAGTTAGCGACGCCGCGGTTGGGAAGAGGGTCGTCGATCATGCCCGGGCAGGGCCAGACGACGCGGAAACTTGCGGCGTGGTTGGCGAACGAAGCCGCGAAATTAATCCCGCAGGAACGCGAGCGGAGAACGCGGATAGGCTCGCCGGGGGAAGGCTAATAGAATTAGCCCCGCGAAGTCAGCGGTAGTTAGGCGACAGATATATAGGAATAGAAGAGTCCTCCTACTCTCCCCCACCCTCCCCCCCCGTCCAGTTGTGACAAGCCTGGGGTGTCGTATACGTTATCAGCGTTAACTATCGTTCGACTGATATTTTTAGCGTAATCTCGCGAATGATTGTTACGGGTGAGCAAGTACGATAAATGATATCTGCGAGGCACGCGACCGGTACGGTCCGTAAATCAAACGGATTATATTACTTGAACAAAACTCTTTCTCTCTGATATAAGTTATACCTTATATTGTTGTAATATTATCATATCTTACGTCAAGGTAAGTTTGGCTTAGAGTAAAATTGATTAATTGATGATTTGACTCGAATAAAATTGGATTCGAATGAGATTTTCAAGAAGTTAGCAATTATTCAACGTCTGTATAATACGAAGATAGGAATCTGGGTATTTAGAAAAGTTTCCATTGTTCCATTTAATACTATTCGGGGAAGTATGCGGATATTAATGTTCACTTTGTGACGTGAACATCTCGTGAATCTACCTAAAATCCAAATTCTCGGGGTCATTCGCAGCTCGCTCTGCAACCTGGAAATTGCATCAATTATTCGAGCTCGGCCGCAAATTGCGCGTTCGTCGTGCTATCCCGCCGATGGAGCTCGCATTATTGTGGAAGTAGCGAGAGAGAGCGAGAGAGAGAGGGGGGAGGAGAAACATAGAACTAGAGAAAGAGAGATAGAGAAAAAGATAGAGAGGGAGGAGAGAGAGAGAGAGAGAGAGAGAGAGAGAGAGAGAGAGAGAGAGAGAGAGAGAGAGAGAGAGAGAGAGAGAGAGAGAGAGAGAGAGAGAGAGAGAGAGAGAGAGAGAGAGAGAGAGAGAGAGAGAGAGAGAGAGAGAGAGAGAGAGAGAGAGAGA